AGTAGAAACGAAAATCCCAGGAGTATCTCGTAACACGCCACTGAGAGCGGGAATTCGAAGCTCCATTCGACGGCGGCGATCAAAAATCAAAGACAGCGCTGTCCACGCCAAACTGGCGAAAATAACGTGGTCTAGACACGTAATGCATATGAACGACAATCGGTGGACAAGAGCAGTTAGCGACCAGATACGTCGGCTGCAGGGAGACCACAAAGCCGATAGTCATAGTTGTTCACGAAAATCCTAGAAGAAAGACATGTTGCTTAACGAATCTTTGGAGCAGTCTGAAGTCATTGGGCTACTCTTCTAAGTGACAGAGAAAAACGGAAGAGCTACTGGCACCCGTTCGAATCACTCGACGTTGAACGGGACAATCGGGACAATAGGCGATACAGTTGACCGAACAAGGACTTCAAATAGGCGAAGGTAACGTCATACTGTGAAAGCAGTAAAGTGCACCAACTATAGAGAGCTCTACCAAGTTCGTCTTCCATTGATTTCAATAAAAGTGTGATGGAATGCGTAAAGCAAAAAGGCTCTGCTTGTACTGCTCACGTAGTTCTGGTTGCTCGGATAGAAGACAGCGGCATATCGATTCAGCGTCACTAAAAACACCCAAATATGTGTATGAAATAATTCACACCTGTCGTTGTCACAGCAAATCGAGTGATTGGCTCGAACGATTGTCGTAGAACGTCTATTTTTGATGTAATAACTGATATTCTTATTGATACTTGATTTTCTCATACGACTAGACTTTCCACATTGATAAATTTAAAGCTTTGTGTTTTACTTGTGCACAAAACCTTCACATTTTGCATGTGGAGCCACCCGCCATGAGGATTTTTGGTCTTTCTCATGGACGCTTTTTAATACTTACCTAGACCATTTTCTCCATAGTCATGAGGTTGCTTCATTGAAATGTTCTCGGCTGTTGGTTACGAGCGGTCGTGGACCTTCGTGGATCAAAGGGATCATTTCCCAGGCAAATCTGGTGCTGATTAGAGGACGCAATGTTGGGTGGTTTTGTTGGCCCGATGCGTGCCCACATGTTCATGTTTTGATACATCTAACAGCTGCGCTCCATGAGATCTATTAGAACGTATCGCATCCTTTTTTTCCAAATATGTTTAAGTTGAGTACGGTAGCAACTGACCAAAGCCTATTTTCAAGCCATTTCGTGCACAATGAAGTGCAATCACGCCCGTGATATCAGAAACACCTGAAAAAGTTCCCACTGCAAATTTTCAGCAATTAAATTTAATTTGATAAAAACGAAAAAAGTGGGCGGAAATTCTGCACATAATATTATAGGGTTTCCTAAAAAGCGATTTTGAAATCGAAGGTGAAAGAGGTGAAACCGATTCCGAACATCTGCGAGCGATAGCGCCCTACTGTTCCACATCGAACGGTAGCAGTTCATATAATGCAACAAGCCATTTTCACGGGAAGAACAGCCTGTACTAATGTGACAGGCTAGAGAGCTGAGCACTTGATTGAATCAGGCTGATGGCGCAGAGAAGGATATTTCTTGGAGAAAGCCGTGAGGAATAGTAAAATTGGAGAACAGTGAACGATCTATGCCATATGCTAAGCATGGCTATCATTAAGAACCTATTCGTTGCAGATAAGTGAACGGCTTCCATTTGAGTTATAAAGTAAGTGATTCTTGTGTTGATGAGCGACGATGAGTGACGTCATTGTGGAAAAACCCCATATGGTGGTGAATAATACGAAATGCTTCAACCAATAAGCAGTTGAAAGGTTTGGTTCTTTACGAACAACGACAACGGCAACGAAGATCTGTGCCAACCTCGCGTCAGCTTAAGAAGAACTTTTGATTTTGACAAAATGACTACATATAAAATATTTGTGTTGATTGAAATTGCCATTCTTGAGACCATGAAATGCCCATCGATTATTGAAGCCCATTTATTGGGCATCTGAAAAGCCCAGATGACTTTCAGCGTTACCACTAATTCCAAAGTAACAAAATCGAAGGTGATCAGGTAGATAAGATAACCCCCTTTACATGAAACTGGGAACTACCTACACTCTAAAATTATGCTGGATTAGGCCTAGAATTGGAACAATAAGATTGTCGTGAGGATCGAGTACTTGTGTTGTTTTTCCACAGAAAAGCCAAGAAATCGTTCTCCAGCGTTTTAAAAATTATTGGGTCGCAGATTATGCCACAACTGAGGACCATGAGAGGTTTTCGGTTTTTCAACAGGTGTTACATAATCATGAGAAAATCTCTAAGAGTTATTGTCAGAAACTGCGATTAAGGAATTGATTGCTCAAATTGTCTCGGATCCCTATTGATTTAAAAATTGTTGGTCGGAACGAAATTACTTTTCCTGGAGTCTCACAGATCATCGTACTTGAACTCTCCCATGCTCTCATTAAGGGCTTTTCTTAGCGTTTCATGGATCGTAGCTCTTCCAAGAAGTGGATGCCAAAATGACAGGGGTTACTGGCGTTGTCGCGGCAGAAACAGGAGTCCATCCTCTGGATCCAACTGCGTCTCAGGGAAGCCAAGGTCGCTTTTGGTCCGCGATTAGCCCCTATCCGCCACCTGGTGACGCGCCACGTAGCCTTGCGACTAACCGGCTATCGGTGTTCCTCAAATGAGTGGAATCCGTGGTGCATGGATTTAGTCTTCACAACATCGCCAACAAACATTCACATTGACGTTTTTACCAAAACGCTCACATATGTGTTTTTTACTTAAATTGAATTATTTACACACATAAGCAGACCGCTTTCTGGATAGATTTTGGTCTTAGGCTGACAAGGTCCTGAAACTTCGTCAGTTTCAAAAGACGCTGCATTATCTTCGGAATTTATAAATGACTATAATCAGCCACGTAGAGAGATCGAAATATGAAAAGGAATAATAACGTTATTAAACAAAAACAAAGGCTTACGAGCCAATCCATGGTTCCGTCGACCAGATGGACCGACCATGTGGCACACCAGCACAGCTTAAGTAGAGGTAGGATAGCGCGCGCTACACAGGCTGTATATACAAGTGGGAGTGTCCTACCACTGATTAATATGCAACTCTGTCAACGGCTCTTAAGAAAAATTGCCAGTTTTTCAACAGACTGTTCTTACCGCAAAAATCTGTGACTGCAAAAAGCCTGAGCACCTTTTTCTGAATATCCCCACAACTGCGAGAACACTGAACATGGGAATAACTGCGTCCAATTAATAAAATAAGTCATATCGTTCTCCTAACTTCTTATAAGCATCTAATGCAATAGCAATAAGAGTATATTTGGAGATGCTCCCGATAGCGTAGATCGTAGAGCTTACGGCGTTACACTCATGGTTGCCAGTTCAATTACGCGAGGCCGACAAACTAACCCGCTCTTCCGTCCGAGGTCAACAAACCCACACCGCCTTGGTATCTTGGACTCACTAATCTGCTACTACTACTTTTATATTGCTTATATATGATCATCGACTCGGATCATCAGCTCTGAGGAAGACGAAGACGTCGAACGTTAGCCGAAAATAAACATCATTATCAACCTCGTGTAAGCTTATCAAAGAAAGAATACATATATATATACATATATAAGCAATGTAAAAGTAGTAGTAGCAGATTAGTGAGTCCAAGATACCCAGGCGGTGTGGGTTTGTTGACCTCGGACGGAAGAGCGGGTTAGTTTGTAGGCCTCGCGTAATTGAACTGGCAACCATGAGTGTAACGCCGTAAACTCTATGATCTACGGTATCGGATACATACTCTCTTATTCTGATAAAAGACAAACTTCCCCCTTGGAAATTCGAATTTCTACTGGATCCAAAATGACGATAACAGATCTTGAAAGCTACTGCATCCTCTTAGAGCGATTCAGCAAGGTGTGTTCTACAGGTGGGTCGTGTCTTGAACTTTTCGAGTCTATTAGTTTGCAAAATTTGCCGTAACTTAATGTTGGAAAACCAGGATGGGGACTTTTATACAGTGTACGGAGTTGGATTCTTTGCTAGTTATCCAGTCTTCTTCACTCCAGTTGCTATGATGGTCAGGAGACAGCATAAAAAATGATCATATTTGCCCAAAATGAGTTGGGAAACCTTTCCGAATGCTTCAGAAATTTGTCCGAATGGCGCACGATGGTGAAGTTCAGCTAATAATAACATGCAAACTTCTCCATCAATAAATTAAGACCTTTCCTAAGGATTTATGATGTTCCCAATTTCATGAGTCCTCAAGCCTTCGAAAAATTACCGTTAACTCTCAAAAACCCATTACTTCCGTGCTCTACTCGGAAACCAGTTTTACTTCTCGTGCAGTCGCCATAAAGTATAGCGCTATCCGACTCTGCAGGCGTGGAAATGTAATCATCGGACGTTGAGTGGTTAGAGGCGACACCTTCGTCGGTAACATTCATAATCAATGGAAAATGTGATTGTAGCATTCCATACAGAGTCGAAAAAGGTGTTAAATTTTACCGCTTACAAATCTGTACACCACTTTCAAGCTATTTAAAATGAAATTTTCACCCTATCATATCTCTTGTCGGACCTAGAACGACAGAACTGTTCAGCTGCACTGAGGCTCATTGTATGCCTAATGTTCGCCAGGAAATACGGTATTAAAATGACTTATTCGATCATGCGCTTGTTCAGCTGGGGAGTCGGAGACTCTTATTGCTGTCACCTAACAAAAGCGTACTTTTAATTCTACCCGGCTATTTAGGAGAAGTTATTGATCACATGCACCATCACCATAAAGCACTCCTTCAGCAGTGGTACTCTTGTTCCTAGCCACTAGATGGGAGGCTTAAGTCTACCGTTATGAAGAAATCGCTTTATTTGTCTTTTGTTCCGCATGAGAAGTATCTTTATTTGAAGACATTTCACCGTTCAATGAAATATGTCTTGTATTTGTTAAAACGACACAGCCTCTGAAAAATCCAACGGAGTGCTCATAAAAGGGAGAAACATTTCCTCACAAAAGACCTGCAGAAATTATAGAAGTGAGTTCATACATTTTCTGGCATAACAATACCAATGATTCCACAGGCAAGACGAGCACCAGAGTTGCCAACTGTGCGACTGCCTACATCGCCGCCTCTTCCCAGATCGTCTTCTCTCGCATGGATCACGAAAGACCGTCCAATAACACCTCGATTACCACTGAAAGTGAGAAGAGAATCCCGGATATCGATTGGTGTTTGGCCGCTTGCCTTAAAATTGGTTTAAAGGTGATTTCGTTGTAAACTTTCCTGAAACACCTGAAAAACGAGTAAAAACTGTACTCAAAAAACCCTATCATCGTCCGCTAACATTTGATAGCTCAAATAATATTTTATCACCTAAGAGCGCTCTTTCATGACCTTTATGTAAAATCATTTATTAGAAGTGAAAATCGACTAAAACAGATTCTTCACAAGGCGGAGAAATGGACTCACGGGTGTCATCAGGTTTCCAAGATCCCCAACGTGGCGCCTGGAAGGTGGATCGTTCGGTCCGCCGTGGTCTGATCTGAAGGGATTGAAGTGGACACCTGCTGCTAAGCAACCATTGCCGAGACTACCGAATTCATGGACATGAAAGCCATGAGGGCCAGGGGGCAGTCCAGTTACGCTGCCGTTTATCTAAATGGCAGTTTGGTTCTACAGCTATTCGATTACTGTACGAACGCAGTGGAAAATCGACGAGCTGACCGTTACCACTCCATTGAGCTCCATCAAGTCGATGGTTCCAATAGATTCTGTTGGGTTACCACCGGTGACTGCTTTAAATATAAGGGCGCTAGCTCTTGGTACTAGAATAAATACACATTACCTACCATTAATCTATCTGTACATTATGTTAAGAGTGGGTTACGCTCATTGAAAAGTTATCTCATAATTGTTCTACTGTTTTAGGCAGCAAATAAATAGTGAAAATAGGAGTTTTTTCTTTTCAACAAGTCTTTTCATGCTATCGTTGCCGTCAAATTTCACCTCGAACGGAGCAATTTGCCATTGGTACGAGGGCCAGGAGGACAAAGAGCAGCATCCTTCTTGTACAGTTCGGATAGGACGTGGATCGTAGGATATGGTGGCGAGAATGCGACAGCCTCAAGTGTGTGAACGATGGGTTAGAAGCACCTATAAATACAGTAGTAACGCACCGATGATGTCCTTCGTGTTTGCGATCTTTTCCATATGGTGATTTGAGTTATACTGGAACTACGCGAGGTTTATGGTAAGTTTCGGAATCGGATCTGAACATCATTGTTTACTAGTTTCTGGTTGGAACTACTTATGCGATTTTAGTAAGTAAAATGCTGTTGTTTTTCGATTAGGAAGAAGCAACAGTGTGACCTGAATTGAGAGAACACGACGATTGTTGGAAAGCAGATCCATTTCAGAATGCCATTTAAAATTGGCAAGAATACTCTGTTGAAATTCGACTCAGAATAACTCAAATGAAGTGGAAATCCATGCTCGACGAACTGTGAAACAGCCGCTCATCAACAAGGAAGCGGAGACATCTGATCGATCGACACCGTACTTCCCTCATTGTGGACTGTATTGGCAGGAATAGCGCGGTGAGCGTCGTATTATTCTTAACCAAATTCTTAACGACCCTCGAGTTATGAAATTCTCTTTGTGCCTTACACGTTGGAACTATAAAGCTAGCTCTCCCTGTCTATCAGTTCTCTTCAGGACACATAATGAGTAAATCCTTCCTGCATGATTTTCGACGCTGTTAATGAAGAGTCAGGTTTTAATTTTAGTCGTTTCTGCGCAGGGATCGTGCGGTGATAAATCTATGGAACAAGATGTCCGCCTTTAGAAGGACGAATCACTGATATAACATTTCAACACAATGATAAGAAGTAAAGGCAGATGGTGGCGGTTGTTTTTGAGACCGGAATTAATTCAGCATAGTGTCTTCCCGTCTGCCCTTCGGGGACCATTTGGAGAAGTCTGACATGCATTCTTCTGAATGTCGTTTCCATCAAGTAGTAGTAGCGATTTTCTTGTCTTATAACTTTCTATTACTTCATCTCTGAAGAATTTCGCAAATCCGCACCGAAATTGTCACTATCTGTGGCTTATTCGTCTCCAGACAGACAGTAACTCTCGACTGGCCAGAGTCTGAAAGTAGTTAATGATCTCAAAACTCTCCGCTTTCTTAGCAATATAGTGAATGAACGTGCGTGCTCGATTTTTCATCAGCGTCGTTGCTAACGTTATTTTCTCAAAGTTTGTGAAATCCCCGTGCGCAAATGAGGAGATGTTGCTGCGCAAATCAGAGCTTTAAGGCAGCAGCGAAATCGTTTGGGACACAACGCTGATATACGATGATGTGACAAATTCCATGTTTTCTTCACTCTAAGAATCAAATGCACAATGGTAAGATGAAGGTTGCTGAAGGCTCAGATTTACTTGGATGACGTCGGCTCATGACTTGGAACAGGTTCTAAATCTATTTTTGTCTAAATCTAAATTTGCTACCTCTGCAAGACCCGATATGAAGTTTGTTCCTTACACGTTTTACCGGATTTAGTCTTGACGATAAATTTTTCTTTAAACTAATTGTATATTCCAGGCAAAGCTGTCGCATGTTCTGAGGAACAATTCTTTTCCGGTGTCATAGACGAGGCTGAATGGCTGGCGTCGTCTCGTCGCTGCCGGCCGTGGTGGTGATGTCGTACCTTAAACTTCTTGCATGCATGGGCAAGTCTTCTATCGAGGACTTGGATGCGAGTGTCCGTACAATGTAGGTACAGATTTCCACCTTGTTTCTTTGCGGTTTAGGCAGTTTAGAATTGCTCTGAAATCTTAGCAGCCTCTCCGTGCTCCTCAACGCTGCTGAATCGGGAGCTCTTTTGGGGTTAGCGGAATGAGGCCCATTTCTTTCATTGTTTTTAGCTTTTTGATACCGATGTATTTTAGCTTGCTGGGCTCTGAGCGTGGGTGCTGGGTGTACTCACGGTTAACTTGCCAGTCTCTCCAAGAGTAGACATGGGGCTTATTTGTTGGAGGCGACTCCTAATCGCCCTCCCATATAATTCTCTCTCACTTAATTGCTGGTTTTTGGCCGATCAGACTCGTAGATACAATCCGCGTTAACCTGAACGCACCCACACACGCGTGCATGAATACGCCTCGTAAATACAGAATTTATGTGTCAAATCGGCGCAACAGAAACAAGGAGACCCTCCCGTGGATCCATCTGCTTCTCAGGGAAGCAAAGGTCTTCTGGTTTGTCAACCACCCGCTAACCGCCACATGGGGACGCACTGCGTTGCCTCGCGACTAAGCGGCTCGAGATCCGTGACTAGATATATATATATATATATATATATGTTTATTTATAGGCAGATATATTAGGATGTGTGTGCTGCTGTCGCTGGGAACTCGATCAGTACGTGCACAGCCTAACCTGGCCAGGCGTTGGTTAGAGTAGTGTCACTTGTCTTCCATGGCAGCGGTTTGAATTGAGCAAGTGGGTGCAAGTCTACTACGTGATCTATTAGACAGCTGCACCTGCGTGTACTTCTGATTAACTTTGATTACGAACGCGTCCAACGAATGTGTAGTTGGCTGTACTAGGAGAAATCAGCATCTTCATGGAGTCCAATTTCCGGTCCTTCGCGTCCATCTGTGGTTTGCTCTTTCATTATACGTTAGGCCTTTCTGTTTCGCTATAAATATGTGTTCGCCTAGAGTTCGACGATGACGTAGGTTTCTAAGGTCAGAGCTTCGCACTGCGTTTAGACACTGTTTGAGCCGGTCGTATTTCAGAACATATTATTCAAGCACTCTGTGGGCAGTGCGCAGCATGCATAGAACGGGCGAAATATCTCCTTCGTCTTTGGTCCATCACAAACAAATGGGACGGCTGCCGAATCGAAAAGATAAGCGCTGATTTTCGAATAGTTTCATTGGTAGTTTCCATCTTTGAGAGGCGCAGAACAGTCCAATACTGATGTCTTGGTTCTGTCTAATTACTACTTCTTGTCGTCCTCTTTGTTCATTTACAGCCCAAGGAATACCTGTGAGGTTGTCATGGCAATCAGCGAGCCATCCAGTTCAATCTGTTCGCATTTGCACTATGAGTTTTTCATAAACTGGGTTTTCTTCAATTTATGCAGTAGTTCGGTTAAAAGTATAGATTAGGACATGCTTAGGTCGATCTAGAAAACGCGTATAGGAGGCGTAAGGTATCCACAAGGACAGCAACGTATTAATGGAATTCGGTATGGGTTTAAGTTATTTAGCAGCGTTGCTGCTGATGTGGTTCGCAGAAGCAATAGCTGGACGTAGAAGAAAATCCAACGACTTTCTCCGTGTAAGACGTGGAAGACACTGTCCTATTCAGTCAGAATGAAATCTGCGCCACAACAATATTTTCCAAAGGGATCAAGCAATGAAGATTATATTCGCCTAAATTAGGCGATGACGAGGAACCTGTGTGAAGAGAATTCTGAACCGTTGATCAAACTCAGCGAAAGTTCACGTTGCAAAAAAATGATAGAGGGACGGCTTTGATCGAATATTTTAAAGGTTCACAGTTTTCCAATAACTTAACGTTAGCGTCATTCAAACTAGCATGGCTGGGTCATTTTTTTTTTGAAAAAATTAACTCAGATCACTTCGAACCCCCGCACTAGCGTGTCTTTCAATCGCATCTGGAAGAACCGCGGATGACGAACTGTTCTAGTGATCTAGAGATTTTCTAGAGATCGGTATTTCTTCACTTGCGAGATAACCCAAGCTGGTGGGAGGATGTTCAGCGTTTCCAGCCCGATGCCCAGATGAGAGTAAGACAATATTAGTACACAGCGTCGTTCTAGATTTCGGGTACTGGAAACGTGGATGAGTTGGTTCTGCTCCGCATTTGGTGGAAAGTTGTGTCATGGAAAATCTCTGGCGTGGATGCTTCGAAATTCCGAAAAAGGAAAACCTTTCATAGCGGAAAAACACTTTTTAAATGGAAATTTAACTGCGCCTCTTTTTCGCAACTATTCTTCAAAACACTGTGCCTTGGCATTCGAACTCTCATGTACGATCTAGTGAAGAAAAGTTACTTAAGTACTAAAAATCCCATTTATGATCTCTGTCATTAGTTCCCAAACACCCGTTCTCAAGATTGTGTAGAAATCCCTGAAATATTTCACAGATAATGAATATAGCGCGCTGCGTGAAACACAGCCCAGTTTTCTAAAACGCTTGCCGATTATTTAATCTCACCATAGAAAGCCAGCTTTGGCATAGGAGGTCCATTTTCGCGAAAACTCTATTTTCTCCTTTGATGCCAACTTGTCGGGATTACCACCTTCAAAACACCGTTGTTTTCTGTCTTTTTCAAAAATGAGGCATTTTTACATGATCAATAGATTCAGTAATATTTGTCTTAGACTTATTTCACTATTAAACTGAATAGGATTAAACCTAAACTGTACAACTGAGCTCATGCAATATTCGAGACTGATAATTTAGTGTAGAAAAGACACACTACACATCACCGTTCCATGTGATCTCTGTAGGGTTGGTCTAGACGTGGAATACTCAGTGGGAAACTCGTGGAAAAGAGGAAGTGCATGAAGAAGCTGCTTCGTTTTTAATGCGATTGAAAATTAAGTATTGTGGCTCTTCTGTTGCGGTTATGAGGATATCGGCTGACTGGGGTTACTCAACCATTTCATGCTCTGAAGAAGGAAAAATGAGCCCAGACGAGACACCAGCTGTCTTAGTTACATAATATGTAATAACAACCCTCTATCTGTTCTTAAAGAAAGTGTGAAGTTGTTAGTAGACGTTGATTTGAAAAGAGGCTCGGTTTTGGGAGTAATGATTTAAAATGATTTAAAAAAGCAAGGAATGAATTCTGGAGCAAAAATTCCACTATCCATGGCTCGTCTAGGAAAAGATGATAGTGATTCAATAGAAGAACGAAATTTTTTTAGAAACTGCACAGCGGG